CCTCCCCAATTCGTCATGTTATGTGTGTTGCCTTCCTATCATACAGCCAGCGAAATAAATTTTTTCCGATAATAGAAGGCCACATGTCGTTTGGACGCAACTGTCCGTCTTTCCCTCCCTTCGCGGGATACAAAGCCCGGCGTGGAGGGTCCTGGGGGGAGGCATGCCGTTGGCACGCACGAACCCTGCTCAACGGTGTGGGATGCAGGTGACGTCATCACGCAGATATATTCAGTGACGCCACCGTCGGCCACGCGCGCACTTGGCCGGGTGCCAGTCAGAAATCTAGGCTTAGTAACCATTGGAAAGATGTTTTAAACCATTTCGGTTCTTAATTAATTGTATTTTACGATGACCTTCAGACCACAGCTCTTTCGCTGGCATTGACTCTTAATACCTCTCACACCACGGTTAATGGTATAGTTTCCAACATGGAGTATAACAGCGCCTCACAGCTGTCTCTCTCCCCCTCCTCCGTTCCGACCATGGATGAACTCATCCGTCTGAACGGGCATCGTAGCTATCCGTGGTGCTAAAGTTGAGGGTAAGAATCCACCCATTTTTTCGCCATATAGCATTGTGATATATAACGACTTATTGTTGGTAGCTTAGCTGATTGGAGAATATATAGAGTTTATTGATAACATTGAGGTAGTTTATATTTTAGTTTTTTATTGGTTTACTATATGGTATTCATTATATAGTGTAGTGTATACCCAGTTACTGTTAATAGCTCAGCTTATTGAAGAATATATTGAGTACATTTATTATATTGATGTAATTTAGACTTAGGTTTTTTCACATCGGTTTACTATATGATAGTCGAGTGGTTGCAGCCCCTTTGGTGTCCATGTACTAGGTGCCTCGGTAGATGTGTAGGCTTTGACTTTAACATAGCTATTTCTATGACCAGTCACAAGCTAATCCCTCAGTTATTTCAATGCTAAATTCTCCTGTTTGATTTGTACTAGGTGCCTCTGTGGATGTGTAGGCTTTGACTTTAACATAGCTATTTCTATGACCAGTCACAAGCTAATCCCTCAGTTATTTCAATGCTAAATTCTCCTGTTTGATTTGTACTAGGTGCCTCTGTGGATGTGTAGGCTTTGACTTTAACATAGCTATTTCTATGACCAGTCACAAGCTAATCACTCAGTTATTTCAATGCTAAATTCTCCTGTTTGATTTGTACTAGGTGCCTCTGTGGATGTGTAGGCTTTGACTTTAACATAGCCATTTCTGTGACCAGTCACAAGCTAATCACGCTGCTATTTCAATGCTAAATTATCCAAACCAAACATTAAACTAATTTTCAATGGTACAGTATATTTTTTCAAGTAGTGGTATCCCAAACTTTCGCAGCAGCTTAAATTCCCTTTTCACACCATCAATATGTAAACTCCCCCTCCCCCCCCTCGCCGGTCTGCACATGTTCACCCCCTCTACACCGTTCATCATGCTAAGTCCGCCAATTAAATGCTAATTTTTATGCTAATTCCTTTGTCAAGGCGCTCTGTTTCTTCTCACACAGCTTAAAGGTCGCGGTCTGAGCTTGGCTGTGTTCGATCCAGCGCTGTCCTCCAGACAGTCTCGTCCCTTCACCTGATGAAGGCCACTTGTGTTGTGGCCGAAACGTCGTGAGAATTTTATTGTGTAATTTTATTTTATTAATTTATTATTTTATTCTCATTCTACGTGACTTTACCGAAAGAACCAAAGAAGAACAAAACGTTTTATTCTCATGTAGAAGACACTTCTGATTTATTAAGGGGTTGTCTGTTACTCTATCAAATAAAGATAAACTTTCTATGCCAAATTAGCAACGTTCATCTGGAAATATTCTTAAATTTCAATTGAGGCCCCATTGTGTGTGAGTGCAGCCTCCAAATGTCATTCCATCTATCAGACGTTTCTGCTTTAAAGAAGGGCAATTATCTATAACGTTGCCTATTATATATATTTCTCCTTAAAGGCGATGTTGACAAATGAAAAGTGTCTTTGATAATAGACAAAGATGATCGTCATCAAAGTTTCCTTTTTTGCTACTGCCATTACTATCTCCGTTAATGATTATGCTATCAATGTCTTCGTTAATGATGATGCTGGTAATAATAGCAACTGTTGGTTTTGCCATCGCAAATCACCTTCGCTAATCTAGCATAGGTCGGTAACCACGTGGGAGATGACCAATTTACCCTGCTCATATTATATCTTATTCCTCGGCTGTCCATCGCAAACGAAAATAACTGTGTAGACCAGCCAGGAGCAGAATTTCCCTGTAGGTTGGTGGGTTGAGAGCATCGGCCGCACTGTGGGCAAGAGTTGCTCGTCTGCTGGATGGGATTTGGGTTGTGCTGCTGGTGATGTTGATGCTGATAGTTTTTTTTCTCTTCAACCTTCTTAACCTAGTAGGCTACAGCACTTCACCAAAATTATCTAAATAATAGATTTTACCCATTCTGGCAATAAAACGGGTGTTAAAATGTTCAAACACCAAATAGATACCTTTTGTAAGGCATCAAGTCTGCATTAACCACGCATACTCGTGGCAAAACGTGCAAACAAACATGCTGTGATAATATACGCATTGTCTTTGAAACTGATTGATCTACACCAGAGACAGCCTTCTTCGGGGCCTTGTCTCTGCACCGGTGTTAGACCAGAGAACGCCACAAGTCGCACAGTTCAGAGACAATGCAAGTGTAGAGGTGTTAACTACGCACTGTTGGGTAACCTGCATTGCCACCAGGGCAGTGCAGCGTTACCTCTGGGTACAACGGTTGGGGTCAGACGAGGTGAAGTGGATCGTAGCCACGGGTTGGTAGGAACCAATCAGACTGTTCCACGTGGGAATGTGTGACTGGTTCTACCTGGCCACGAACGAGTATAAGAAGGGTGACCCAACAGAGCTAGGGGAGTTCTCTCCCTACACGAAGACGGAAGACTGGGCTGAAGACTAGCTAGGACCCTGGACCAGCCTTCCAGCCCTTTTGAGGGCTAAGGCTCGGCACACCCAGTGGTCAGGACCCACCGGGCCAGCGGTGGGTCAGATAACCTCCCCTAGATCCTAGCCGGAGGACTCTAGGCTAGGATAGCGGTAGACGTGTAAGTCCCGCCAAGACCGGAGGCTGTACCTCCTTAGGTATCAAGGAGGTTAGCGATAGACGTGCAAGTCCCGCCAAGCTAGGAGGTTAGCAAGCTAGGAGGCTGTACCTCCCTAGGGTATCGGGTGAGGGGACCGTATACCCCTCTGTGTGTGTTACGGACTGTATAAGGAAATAAGTACAATAAACAGAGTGTGCCTTCTAAGAAGTTTACTCGTCTTTACAACACTACACAAGCATCAGAACACTCATAGCTCGAGTTGAGCAGTGGTATCTACGGAATACATTTGATCTCCTCCTTACGGTTGGCTGCCAATTCTTTCCGTGTTTCTGCATTGATCTTGAATATCTTGAGATGTCTTTTAAGAGCGTCTTTGTAGCAACGTTTTTTTTGCCACCGAGAACACGCCTTGCCCTCTTTGAGTTCACCATTAAAAAGTATTTAGGAAGCCGATGTTCTGGCATTCCAGTTACGTGCCCCGACCATATTAACAGAGAGGAAGTAATTAATTGCCTCTACAACTAGGAATTCCAGCTCTCGCCAGCACCTCGGTGCTATGCTACAGAGTCCCGACATCCGCAAAATTCTGATGACCGTGCGATGTTTGAAAACACAACGGATGTCACCATCTTCGTTGCTGCTGATGCCACCGCAGCTGTGAAGAACTGCACTACACTACGCTGTACCTTGTGCCAAATTGCTGCAATTGCTCTCAACATTCGCGTTACTGTACCCACTATACCACTTGATACAATATAATTTACAATGTTTAAGATTACAGTCACATAAAAGATGCGTTTGTCAGTGACGAATAGGAGAAGTAGACGTTCCTTCAACACCATTGTAGTTAAGAATTCTATATTGTTTTTAAAATACACAATATTTAATCCCGAACATCATAACTGACACACCACGAGACCAAAGGTACTTACCTACTCCGAGTACTTTAATCAGTAGAAATGTTTTATAAATAGAGAAATTGCAAGCCATTTTGTAGCTTTTTTTGTAAAATCTATACAGCACTAAGTTTAATTGCGTACTATACTTTTATATTATACGATTACCATCCTACACATGCCTCTAAAAAGAGCCTGGCAGAGAAGGAACTAAGTCAGCAGCCAGTTTACTCTTAGAAATTCAACTGATTAACGTTCCGAGAAGTGAAATGGCATGTGTGTGTGCGTGCGTGTGGCACCGGATCGTCCGTCCAGTGGGGGCCTTCCACAGCCCTGGACGCCCTCCCCCAGCGTGCCAGTTGACAGTGAGACGTCCGGGAGACGTTCGGTGACAACTCCTACCGAGACCCCAGAGGATATTTTGAATAGCTGTGTGTGTGTTCGAGCATGGATCAAGATATTTTTTTTTTTAAATCGTGTATATGTGTTCCATGCTCGAACACATACACACAGCTATTCAAAATATCACAGCTTGATCCATGCTCTAACACACACACAGCTATTCAAAATATCCTCTGGGGTCTCGGTGGGAGTTGTCACCGAAGGTCTCCCGGACGTCTCACTGGAAACTGGCACGCGGGGGGGGGGGGGATGTTGGTGGGGGCCGTCCAGGGCTGTGGTGCCACACAAAAGACAAAGATCCCCCGTATAGCCTTAACAGACTGTAGGGGCAAGTGCTGTTAGCGAGCACCTATGAAGGCCAGATCGGTACACGAGGGGGTGGGTGGCCAGCACCACGCCCGACCGCCTTTGTCTCCCTAGTGGCAATGTTTACACACCGCACCAGGTACTCATTTGAGGCTGAGTCGACCTAGGGGAGGCCCGAGACCGGTTCAGAAATCGTCACTGGTGTTGGCCGTGAGCGGGAATCGAACCCGAGTCGCCAGGTTCATAGCGCAGCGCGCAAACCGCTACACTATCGCCACACACACCCGCACACACACATGCCATTTCACTTATCGGAACGTTAATCAGTTGAATTTCGAAGACGAAACTGGCTCCTGACTTCCTTCTCTCCCAGGCTCTTTTTATAGGCATGTGTATGATCGTAACCTTATGATATTAAAGTATAGTACGCAATTAAACTTAAAGTACTCTATAGATTTATAAAAACAAAGCTACAAAATGGCTTGCAATTTCTCTATTTGTAAAACATTTCTACTGATTAAAGTACTCGGAGTAGGTGAGTACCTTTGGTCTCGTGTTGTGTCAGTTAACATGTTCCGGATGAAATATTGTGTAATTTTTAAATATATAATTCTTAACTGTAATGATGTCAGAGGAACACATACATCAACTTCTCGTATTCGTCACTGACAAACGCCTCTTTTATGTGACTGATCTTAAAAGTGTAAATTATATTGTATCAAGTGGTATAGTGGCAGTGCCGAATTAAGCTAGTGCGGGGCCTGTAGTATATGTTATAAAGGGGCCCTAAATAAAAAAAAAAACATTAAAACACAAATGTTTAACTTGCATAGTAAAGCAATTGTATTTTTTCATTTGCTATACAGCCAGATAATACGACAAATCGCTAACGTTAAACACCCAGTCGTTCATAAGAGTTGAAGGCGGTATAGTACTATAGTAATAGAGCAAGTGCAGAATAACTGAACCGGAATTGATAGCTTGAAAGCATTTAGCGCGGGGCCCTTGAAAGTGCGGGGCCCGTAGCATATGTGTAGTGGAATAAATAGGCGCATGGGGGTAATTGGTGAGTTTGCGCGGGAGCAGGACAGTAGGGGGTCATATTGGGACGATGAGGTAACGATTGGGCCAATTAAGCTGGGGGAGCCAAGGACGGCTGTGATTGGCTGGTGTTGTTGTCAGGGCTGGGGTGGCGTCTTGAAGTCTGGCGAGGTGACAGGCGCACGGGCACGCGGAGCGCCGATGGGACGCGGGTTAATTAATTTGAGTGTAATGATAGCGGGGATAAATTGGGGGACGTGAGGAGCGGAGAACAGAGACGAAGCAGTTAGCAGTGGAGAGAGCACAGTGATAGCGGGGAGCAGGGACGAAGCAGCCAGCAGTGGGGGAAGCACAGAGACATCGGGGCTTACGGAGAAGTGGAGATTGGAGAGACAAAGGTGGCGAGCGAGTCGAGTGAAGCACGACAAGCGAGCTGTGGCAACAAGGGAACTGTGGAGCATTGAGGACATGTGGAGAACTGTAAATAAAGTGGTGTTGGAAGAAAGACAACAATTGTCCGAGTGAAATCAACCATTACATATGTAGCTACTTTTGCTCCTAGGATAATCCGGCACTGTATACTGGGTACAGTAACGATAATGTTGAGAGCAATTGCAGAAATTTGGCACAAGGTACAGCGTAGTGCAGTGCTGTTCTTCACAGCTGCGGTGGCATCAGCAGCAACGAAGATGGTGACATCCGTTGTCTTTTCAAAGATCGATATCCATCATCTTCACGGTCATCACCATTCTGCGGATGTTGGGACGATGTAGCATAGCACCGAGGTGCTGGCGAGAGCTGGAATTCCCAGTGTAGAGGCAATAAATTACTTCCTCTCCGTTGGGATGGTCGGGGCACGTAACTCGAATGCCAGAACATCGGCTTCCGAAATACTTTTTTATTAACTCAAAGAGGGCAAGGCGTGTTCCCTGTGGCAAAAAACGTTGCTGCAAAGACGCGCTTAAAAGACACCTCAAGCCAGCCAAGATAAATGCGGAAAATGTATTCCATAGATATCACTGCTAGACCCGAGCTATGAGTGTTCTGATGCTTGCATTGTCTTTGTACTGTGCGACTTGTGGCGTTCTCTGGTCTAACACCGGTGCAGAGACAAGGCCATGTTCACCCCCTCTACACCATTCATCATGCTAAGTCCGCCAATTAAATGCAAATTTTTATGCTAATTCCTTTGTCAAGGCACCTTAATTCCTCTCACACAGCTTAAAGGTCACGGTCTGAGCTTGGCTGTGTTCACTCCAGCGCTGTCCTCGAGACAGTCTGGTCCTTTCACCTGATGAAGGCCGCTTGTGTTGTGGCCGAAACGTCGTGATTTTTGTTGCTTTATTTTTTACCTACGTGACTTTACCGAATAGAACCAAAGAGTATGGATCCTTGCAGTCACGAAAGCTTCAAATCTAAGGTTGTCTCTGTAGATCAATCAGTTTCAAAGACAATGCGTATATTATCACAGCATGTTTGTTTGCACGTTTGCCACAAGTACGTGTGGTTAATGCAGACTTGATGCCTTACAAAAGGTATATATTTGGTGTTTGAACATTTTGATACCCGTTTTATTGCCAGAATGGGTAAAACCTATTATTTCCATCATTTTGGAGAAGTGCTGTAGCCTACTAGGTCAAGAAGGTTGAAGAGAAAAAAAACGATCAGCATGAACACTACCAGCAGCACAAGCCCAAATCCCATCCAGCAGACGAGCAACTCTTGCCCACAGTGCGGCCGATACTTTCACTCCATGGGGCTGGCCTCTCATCCCACCAGCGCCCAGGAAAATTCTGCTCCTGGCTGGTCTCCACATTTATTATCGTTTGCGATGGACAGCCGAGGAAGAAGATATAACATGAGCAGGGTAAATTGGTCATCTCCCACGTGGTTACCGACCTATGCCAGATCAGTGAAGGTGATTTGCGATGGCAACACCAACAGTTGCTATCATTACCAGCATCATCATTAACGAAGACAATGATGACAGCAATAAAGCAACTTTGATGACGATCATCTTTGTTCATTATCTAAAACGCTTTGCATTTGTCAGCATCGCCTCGAAGGGGAAAATATATAATCGGCAACGTTTTGGGTAATGGCCCTTCTTCAAAGCAGAATAGTCTGATGGGGTGAATAATATTTGGAGGCTGCACTAAATACACAATGGGGCCTCAATTGAAATTTAGGAATATTTTCATATGAACATTGTTAATTTGGCAACAAAAAATTACCCTTTATTTGATAGAGTAACAGACAACCCCTTAAGAAATCAAAAATGTCTTCTAAATGAGACAAAAAGGTCTTCTGGCTGAATTTTCTGGTTGTTATTCCTGCCTGGATTCCTGAATGGCGTGTGGGAAACGGTCACGTCACTGAATACATCTGCGTGATGACGTCACCCGCATCCTACACCATTGAGCAGGGTTCGTGCATTCCAACGTCATGCCTCCCTCCCAGTACCCTCCATGCCGGACTTTGTATCCCGTGAAGGGAGGGAAGGACGGAGAGTCGCGTCATAACGACGTGTGGCTGGATGATAGGAAAGCCAACACATGTGACAAATTGGGGAGGGTGCTTGTGTGCACCAATACTGTTACAATGTGGTTTTAAACAGCAATGTTTATAAATAATGGTGTAAAAAAAATTAGGTGTGCGTTTTACTCACTGAAAGATGAAGTGGAGTTTAGTCACGGAACACTTATCCACATGTTCTATTGTCCAGAGATGGGAAAGGGGTAGAGGGAAAGGGGGTGGGTGGTAGGGGGGAGAGGAAGCAGTTGGTTTTCATAGTGGGAGGTTATATACAAAAGCTGGCAGCTTGTAATTGGCTGGGGTGTCCCTGAGACCGCCCCTAAGCCACACCTTTCTCTCCATTGTCTGTCTCTGTGGGAGCTAAACGGTTAGCTAGCGAGAAGCCGAAATAGCCTCGTGGATGGGACACCTTTTGTGCATCGCTGTATTCTCTACTGATTCTAGATTTCAATAGATTTTTGGAAAATCGAGTCGTTAATATAAAAAACCAGGACGTTACGGAATTCGATCACTTTTTAAAATGTGTTTGAATTTTTTATTTTATTTAGAAAGATATATTTATTATACAAATTTTAAGCAGATTTCATGTGGTGCACTGCTTCAATGCCCCATTCCAACCAACTTCCACTGCTAGAATTTGGAAGAATCCTATTCATGGATTTTTAATACCGAATTATTGTTATATTGTTAATTTGTAGTATTAACATTGATCCACGATAAAATGAGCATTGGGCTGTTCTCATCCCCGCTGGAGGGCCCTGAACCACGTTCCAAAGAGGGGGCCAGTTCAACATAGCAACTTCCGCACCTCCGATTAGCACAGCTGGCTACGTACGGTGCGAAAGTTCAACATACACACACAGATGTGCATGTAATGTTAATATCACCGAGGGAACTATGGTACGAGTCGATCCATGGCTAAGATGTTAACTCATGACATTTCCACCTGTGATTTCAGAACTTCGCCAGTGCCACATGGCGGGAATGGATATCTCTCTGTGATATAAATATTGCGTATTGTTTGAAGTTGTGAGATAAACTGATATATAATCTCGAGTACAGTATATTATGAGGAACAGTAAACAAAGATCGCAAATAAAGTTGGTTAATGTATTCACTATAATTGCATTTTTTTAAGACCATCTCTTGGAAATGAATGTAGAATGTGAAAAGTTTTATCTACAGACTTAACAACATGATTTAAGACACAAACAAAAATAACCGAAACACATCAATTCTAATAGAAAATGTCACTTAAGACATGCGCAAATTGACGCTCAACGATCCAGGCCTCTTATAATTAATTATCAGATAACAGTATCAAGCTTTACACCCAAAATAACTTAATTATTTTAGCTTCTAACTACAGTATGATGCGTGTCTTATCATCCTGCAGCTCTGTTGTTGCCAGGTTCATTCCGAATGCTAATACAGTACTGTATATGCTTTTTTATAGTCACATGTCAACAGGAATTGTCCACAACCAATGTGGATGTGAAGATGAACACAATGGCTTCCTTGCCGTGTGGCCGAGGAAGGAGTGCCCAGCCAGGCTGGGTGGTCTGGTTCAGGGTGGCAAGAGGACCCAGAGGCCAGCCGGTCCCCGTGGCTTTGTGCTCCGAAAAGGAAGCCTTCATCCCTTCTTGCGATCGTGACGGAGGGGACGCATCAGAGGTGGGGAGGCTCTGCTGCTCTGGGTCTGGTGGCCTCACGATAAGAAGAGTGGAGGCTGGCGACATCGGGACGTATACGTGTGTCACGGGGGCTCTCCTCGGCCAGCACGTGTGTAACAACAGTCTCACCACCGTGTGCGAGACAGACCTCTGGAATAAGAGTCAGATTAGCAAGAGGTACTACATGATGATAGTTCAGCTGTCAATAATGAGTAAGTAATACAATACAACTCCCTGGCTTTGTGTTGGGAAATGAGACCCATTGTCACGCAATACAAACACAGTGTCACGTGGTACAAACTCATTGTCACGTAGTACATACACATTGTCACGTGGTACAAACACATTGTCATGTGGTACAAACACATTGTACAGAGAGCATCATGGGAGCACCATCGTCACGAGGACTGTAGCAGTTCGAAGAGAAGGCCCAGCACCACCACATCAGGGTAACTCGAGATGGGAAATAATTTCTGGTTTACCAGTGACGCTCACATCCCATCGAATAAAAGTTACATAAAAGGTCGTGCAGATGAGCTTGCAGTATGACGAGGCGTTCAGCACATTAACTACTACAATGAGCCAAGAATGTCTGTGTGTCCCGCGCGTAACATCACTCCACGTCGACCAGCCCCCCTCATTAATAATCATGAACAGGTTACGTCCTTGACATGGACCCCCCCCCTCATTAATAATCATGAGCAGGTAACATAATTCTGCATGGAGAACCCCCCCCCCTCCATTAATTATCATGAGCAGGTGACGTCACTCCACATCGAACAGCCCCCCTTATTAATAATCATGAACAGGTGATGTCCTCCAAATGGACACCCCCATCTATTAATAATTAGCGGGTGACGTCACTCCACATGGGGGGCGACGCGCCTCCTCCCCCCCCCCCCTCATCGTCAACTTACAACCCTCACTACAAAGACAACCCGCACGTCGCACGACCTCCGTAACGCGATTGAGACATCGAAGTAAAAAGGACGTCATGATGAACAAGAGATTATAACCTTTAAATTAAATAAGTCTGCGTCACCGCGGCCTTACAAATTGCACACGAATTGATGCAATGAATATCACGTCGCTTGCAAGTTTCAGATTTACTGCAATACACGCGTCCTTGGACGGGCAAAAGGCTAGTGATAGTATAATCCTGTGCAATGGTAGTATATCCAAATGTAGATGTTTGCGAGAGGAGTGGATACCTCTCAGTCTGCTACTCAGACATTGTCAGGCATGTGCAGCATCTAGACCTCCTCCTGGACTCAGAGTGATCTATCTCTCAACATATTTCTCATGTGTATGCCTTTTGGCGTCCTCTGGTCTAACACCGTTTGAGACGAGACTCAAAAGAAAGCTGTCTTTGGTGTGGACCAATCAGTTTCAAGGACAATGCATATATTATCAGAGTATGTTTTTTGTTTGCATTCTGACCACAAGTATTGTGGTTAATGCAGACATGATTCCTTGTAAAAGGTTTCAGTTTGGTGTTTTAACATCTTAACACCTGTTTTGTTGCCAGAAAAAAAGGGGAAAACCCTATTATCATATTTATTATGCTACAAATTCTGCTTTCCTTCACCTGCGCAAGATGCGACTGAAACCGCAATGTATACCTCATATCGACTGGTTTTGAATGTGTTTTCTCCTAAAAAGATTAAATACTCTTCTGAATAACGTCGTTTTTATGAATTACAGACTCGCTGAAGACATACCTCATACACGTTTATACTGGAATTGAAGATAAAGCTGGAACTGATGAAGCCGTTTCTATTACAATCCATGGAAGTGCAGTGAATCCTGCAATGGATCTAACTTCCTCCAAGACACACAACAATCCTTTTGAACGTAATCAGGTATACAGTATTACTGATTCACAGTCACAGAATGGTGGAAACTCGAGAATGTTCTTTATTTATTGTTCCTCTAGTACTGCTCATCTCATTTGTTTACACAGTAGAGCCTCACTACCTCGTGTCAAAGGCTTTTTAAAATAATACGTACAAGGGAATAACTATCATAGGTTCACGCAGGCAGATTCAACTAATGGATAATGGAGAAGGTGTTCCGGCTAGCTGAAAGAAAGTACCAGGCCCACTCCTGCCATATACAATATGTCACATTCGAGAATGAGCAGGCTTACCATAGCAGACGCTCGGACTTTCAGAGAGCCCTGTTGCCCTGCAAGGATGAGTGGTGGTCACTGGCTTCTAAGGAGATTGAAACTGCATCGCGATGACAAGTTACTCTTTAATACCATCTAAAAAGTAATTTGCAGTGCCACACCCATTAGCATCCAAAAGGGAAAGAGTGTAATACGATCTGTGACCCCCAGGAACAGATTTGCAGATTTGCTGAGCATTTCTGTGAGGTCTATGGGGAGGGGAAACCACTTAGCTCAGATAACATCATGGGGCGAGGTGGGGTTGACCCTGCTGGGGCTGCAGTGCCTCAAACATTAAAGGAGTTTCCACCACTTATGAGAAGCTGGCTGATGTCGCATCTCCCAAAAAAGTGGAAAGACCAATCCAGAGCCTGAGACTAGTTAAAACGCCGGGCAGAGATTAACTCACAAGTGAACTACTGAGGGTGGCAGTCGTGTACAGGTTGCCCTATACATGATATACTTACAATTGTTTGCATCACGGTGCCTATTATGTGAGACTGGAAGGATGCCCAGGGTAAGAACTACAAAACCATAAATAGGGCAGGAGTTTGGGCTACCATTCATTCTCCCACTGATTGCAACAACTACCAGGGCTTCTCGTGCCTTTGTGTGCCAGGCAAGGACTATTCAACATTCCTTGCCAAGCACACTGACGAGAGGCTTGCTGAGCCTCAATGTGGTTTCAGAGTGGGGTGGTCCTGCACATATGCCATATTCTCTGTATGTATGCTACAGCATAGGTGTAGGGAGATTCAACAGGATTTACATCTCTGTGTTTTTTACTTTGGTCAAGATCTATAATATCATCAATAGGCCAAGCCTTTGGAGGCATTTGCCCTCTTACAATAGCAGAGCGTGGAGTAGCGAGGCTCAGAACGAGTAGAGTACTAGGCGGATAAACAGCAAGTTGGCACAGTGAGATGCACCGGTGGTGCATATCAGCAATCTTAGTTAACCCATAGCACCTGCTGGGTCTGTCCCATGACCTCCTGCCAGAAAGCGTTCGACTCGTCACGGTGGCCTCAATGGTGCACCTTGCGTGGCACGATAACTGTGTTGCCGTCACTGCCACTCGATGGTGAATGACGGACGTTGTTGTTGGGTTTGTATGTGAGAATATAAATTAACACTTGTGTGAATATCCCCGGTAAGGTAGACTTTGCACTATCTTTAAGGTCATCACAGTTGCCAAGAGCTTGTCTGGGTGTCATATGCAAGAGCCCATACAAACACTGAACCAAATAATCAACCAACTTCATGTCATGACATTTTTTGTAAAATATATTCTGGTGGTCATTAATACTGATGTAACACATTCTATTAAGTGGATACGCATTTGCTCTTTACAATAATTTGGTCAATATCACCTATACTGAGTTGAAAGTTAGTAATTTTTCTTCTTTAGTAATCTATATCTAAGATTAGATTCATAATAAACTTAGGGAAGGCTAGCATTGTAATACATTTTAACTACTCGGTAGCCTGGCCGTGGATATTAGGATGAGATTGAACACCCACCCCTTACTTCATCTGTTTTTTTCTATTTTCTGTAATAATTGTAGATAAAAAGATCATAAGTTTGCAGATAATTAACGCATAGATACAGGGATTGGTTGTAGCCTGTGGATTCAGGGGTAACAGAGTCACAGTAACCAGTAGTTTCACTTTACCATAAACAGTGGTTTATCAGAGTCTAGAATTGTATATACAAACGAGTGTTCGCTAAAACTGGAAGGTAGGCTCCCTCTACTACTAAAGTAATGCACGTTTTGTTGATCATGGGATCTTTACATTGGTACTCGACATTTTGTCAGCAAACATAGGATAATCACCATGTGGTGATTACATTAACCTTGAAATATGAATTTTCACAGAGGGACACTTTCATTCTGAAATCTAGAGACATTGGGGACATAACGAGGGTTACTGTATCGCATGGTGGTGCTTGGTATAAACCCTTATCGGCCTGGAACCTTGATAAGATTGAGGTCGAAGATGAAGAGTCCCACACCACATTTGTGTTTCCACTTAATCGCTGGATTGATGGAGAGTCTCGTGATCTTCATGTTCAGGTGACTCCCACCACTCTATAATACATGTGCATGTTTTACGTCGTAGTTTCAACACTGTATTAGATGTGTTAATGCTGAAAGACATTATGTACGCTACTTTTAGTTGCTTATGACAAAATCACCCAAAACGCACCAGGTCTTGGAAGCTAAGGAGGTTTTGAGCCTGGACATTGCATGGATGGGTGACCACGCACACGCACAAGCGGGCTGCCACAGGCAGCTTGCGGGGCTAAGGTGGCGGTCTACAGATGGCAGTGCAGCATCGTCTATTGGACTGCAGTATTTTTCTATTCGTTTTGTCTTCAACAACCCGCACTGACCAGGGCGTGTGACGTCCGGTCAAATGACCCACACGACCCACAGTGTGAGGATGCCCTTATCCAGCAGTGGATTGACAAACGGGCTCTACGTGCATACTTATTTACGTTTATATACATTGCGCATGAAACATTAAGGTGCGTAATTTGACAACCTACTGCTATTACTCAACAGACCATAGTGTGACTATGACTAATTGGATATTTATCTACATTGCAGTAAATCTGGCGACATAGTAATAGTGGACAGTACTCTATATGTCGATGATGAGACTCGACTCAACCTGAAATAGGTCATGGATTTCCAGTTTAAAACATATCGAGTAATAATCCATATAATATAAAGTGGTGGAGAGAGTAAGTCGTGGACATGAATTGGAAATCATTACTTGTTACACCCATAACCTGATACACGTATTTAGATTCTAATTTGAAAACAATATATACACTATTTACTGTAATAAGTAGTATAATTTAACATTGTTGTATGAATTTGTTTAAATAAGGGCCTTTTCAATTGTAGCTTGTCAGTAACGTGTAAATGTTGAATGGGGCATGACCCTGGTACTCACGTGCACTTTACACATTTTTCTACTAGGTGGCAGATGTATCACAAGACCAAATATGACAGTCACCTTACCCAACTGCATATTGGGAGAGCACCACACTTTTGTTTTGTCAGAGAATAGAATACAGTCGAATATCCATTATCCGAAGGCTTAGGGAGGAAGGGGGTGCTGGATTTCCAAAAACGCCGGATAATCACGTAATTAATCATTGTTTAAAATAGCGCATTTTTGCACATTCTTGCATCATCTCTTTGTAGGTGTTGTGTATATGATTTTTAGCGTTTTAAATTTGTTTACTTCGTGAAATTGGCATAAATAAATATACAAATACATAAAATATCCTACTGTCAAAAAGTTACTGTATTTACTGTACTGTACTCACCACTCCAATCTCGAAGACTTGTCATGGGGTGATGATCGGGGGTGTAGAATTGAAGGTGGTTATTCAGGGTCTGAATCATGCGGTGGTGATAGCAGGATGTAGAATTGGATGTCGCTATTCAGACTGAATCCAACTCCATCAGCTGTGATGGAGGTTCGCTGGATCAGTCCGGGACCACCGAATAATGTTGGAAGCCGGATAATCGATGATCTGCCGTATAGACAAGAGAATGTATTAAAGAATTAAGCTGCAATACGATGACGTGTATGAATTGTGGCACAAATTGGCAATCTTTTGAATGGTTGTATTGAGTCAAAACTGTATATACATTATATTGTTGGTTCTTTCGGTAAAGTCATGTAGAAGGGAAAAAATCAAATAATAAAAATATAAAACAAAATTCTCACGACGTTTTGACTGCAACACAAGCAATCATCATCAGTTGTGAAAGCCACAGCAAGAAAACATTCTTGTGAAAACCACAGCAAGAAAAATGTCATCATCAGGTGTGAAAACCACAGCAAGAAAAATTTATTGCTGTGGTTTTCACACCTGATGATGATTGCTTGTGTTGCAGTCGAAACGTCGTGAGAATTTTATTGTTTTATATTTTTATTATTTTATTATTTCCCTTCTACGTGACTTTACTGAAAGAACCAAGAATAGTAATCCCTGCAGTCACGAAAGCTTTTAATCAAAATGTATTTACAATGAGACAAAACTGCATTTACGTAGTATCTGGCTGAGAACGCATAGAACATGTGAACCCTATTTGTGTGGTGTTCTCTTAACATTTTCGACAATGAGTATGAATACACACTGTTCAAAAGTACAACTTATCTCCCTAAATGTTTTTACTTGCAGGAAATCATAGTTAACAATAAATCATTGGTTTATGAATCTCACTTTCAAAACAACACGAAGGAAAAAAAGTGCTCTTCTGGTACGTAACAAATAAACCATGGTTTTTTTTCAACTATATAAACAAAATCTGATGGACAATATCCAGATTATGAAGCCACTTAGTAAAAACGTACTGTATTTCTTGTATCGTATCAAGAGCCATCCTTGGGTGCATGGGGATTGGGCTGAGATTACAATTGCAATATATGCACGTGTGTTGAGTAGCACAGGTTAAACGATGAATCACACAATGCACCGGATGTCATCAAATCTCGCAAAGCTAAACAGTGTTGAGCCTGTCTAAAATGTGAATGCTATATTCTCTTGGAATACCAGGTGTTGTAGACATTGGCTACCAGGTGGCCAGAATATGGCAGTACGACAATAGATAATTTGATTTATCTGAGCCTTGAGTGTTACCCCATTGTATTGCATGGGTTTTCTCCAGGTATCCCAAGTGTGGTCTTCTGGGTTAGGCTACTTTTTGAGCATTCATCCTCAAGCATTAACCAACTACTGTAAGAGTTGTGCACGGCCAGTGTTTGAGAGAAGAACTACTCAACATGCAGCCTATCCAGGAAGACCACACTTGGATTCACATTCATTGAATTGGCCAGGATCCATGCTTCATTGACTTGCTGGCTCACTGGCAGAGGGGAGAGAACAAGGGGAGTACCGCTTCCTCTGCTGGAAACTAGAAAGCTGTTTATTCCAACAAGTGAGTCTCACCTGTGGTAGCGGGTAGTTTGTGATAAACTACCTCAGGGCGTGACGACCCTGCCTTACGCGAGTCCCAGGCATAGCTGGCCCGGCTGTCAGTACCTGGTAAGGGCCCCTCCCAGGTTTACGCGGTTTTCTCACTGCCTTGTGAGTGTCTCAGGAGAGTCAATGGCTAAGGGAGTAAACCCCAACAGAAAATCAGGAGTGGGGCCCCTCAGGCGGTTTTGTGACGCACTGCGGCACATTCCCGGCAGCCCCTGCAGCCAAACTGGTACCAAACGTCGTGCTACGCACTCCTTTGGACATCACCAGCAAGGCCGAGGAGGGGATCCTGACGCATGGGCAACCCAGGATTTCCAGAATAACCTGTCCGGGCTTTGCGCCAACAAGAGGTGCAAAAATGGGGAGAGGACACTCCTCGGCCACCTAATCGTGGCCAAGAAACACGGATGGCAGCAGTCACGGGTTATAAGCTCATTTTAGATTGGCGTAAAAAATGGGCGCCACGGGTTGCCATCGTCGGTTGGAGGGGTCATTGCACCCCAATGGATAGCTACCGCCCGCCTCCAGCTGGGCAGCCCCCGGCCAATAAGGTGCTTTCCTGCCACGGCTCACCTGCTCCAATGGGTGCTTGGAGCTTATGGTTAATCACCAGACAAGTGGGCTGCAACACCTGCACCAGACAAAAACAAAACAAAACGAAAGAAGGTTCCAGCCCTTCATTTTGCAAGCTGGAATGTACGTATAATGTGTTCTGGACCCTCCGAAGATCTATTGCAGATTGAGGACATCGGCAAGACTGCAGTTATCGACAGGGAGCTGGCGAGACTCCATGTGGATATTGCAGCACTGCAGGAGACCCGGCTTGCTGGCAGTGGCTCACTACGAGAGAGTGACTACACTTTCTACTGGCAAGGAAAACAGCAAAACGAACCAAGGCAACACGGTGTTGGGTTCGCCGTCAAAAACACACTCCTTGGCATGATAGAACCACCGACTGCAGGCTCCGAGCGGATTCTGCTCATGAGATCGCTCACTGCTTCTGGCCATGTAAACATCCTGAGTGTCTACGCCCCAACACTCTACTCAACTCCAGAGATTCATACCAGTTCTATAAAGAGCTTCACAATATTATTCGCAAAATCCCCAGCTCTGAGCACATGTATCTGTTGGGAGATTTCAATGCAAGGGTTGGGGCTGACCACGACGCGTGGCCCGCATGCCTTGGCTATCATGGCATTGGAAAGATGAATGCCAGTGGCCAAAGACTACTGGAGCTTTGTTCATACCACAATCTCTGTATCACAAACTCATTCTTTCTCACAAAACCATGCCATAAAGTATCATGGAGACATCCAAGGTCTCTTAATTGGCACCAACTGGACCTCGTCATCACCCGACGAGCCCTCCTCAACTCGGTACTCATCACACGCAGCTACCACAGTGCAGTCTGTGACACCGATCACTCGCTGGTATCCAGCAAGGTCAGACTACGCCCAAAAAAGATACACGGACTCAAACAAAAGCGCTACCTACGCATCAACTGTGCCAAGACCTCCCTCCCAGAGTTCACTCAATCACTCCAACACAGCCATGAGCAGTCCCTACACGACACACCAGATGGAAGCGTGGAGACAAAGTGGGCATACAGTGAGGGAAAAAAAGTATTTGATCCCCTGCTGATTTTGTACGTTTGCCCACTGACAAAGAAATGATTAGTCTATAATTTTAATGGTAGGTTTATTTGGACAGTGAGAGACAGAGTAACAACAAAAAAATCCAGAAAAACGCATGTCAGAAATGTTATAAATTGATTTGCATTTTAATGAGGGAAATAAGTATTTGACCCCCTCTCAATCAGAAAGATTTCTGGCTCCCAGGTATATTTTATACAGGTAACGAGCTGAGATTAGGAGCACACTCTTAAAGGGAGTGCTCCTAATCTCAGCTTGTTACCTGTATAAAAGACACCTGTCCACAGAAGCAATCAATCAATCAATCGGATTCCAAACTCTCCACCATGGCCAAGACCAAAGAGCTCTCCAAGGATGTCAGGGACAAGATTGTAGACCTACACAAGGCTGGAATGGGCTACAAGACCATTGCCAAGCAGCTTGGTGAGAACGTGACAACAGTTGATGCGATTATTCACAAATGGAAGAAACAGAAAAGAACTGTCAATCTCCCTTGGCCTGGGGCTCCATGCAAGATCTCACCTCGTGGAGTTGCAATGATTATGAGAACGGTGAGGAATCAGCCCAGAACTACACGGGAGGATCTTGTCAATGATCTCAAGGCAGCTGGGACCATAGTCACCAAGAAAACAATTGGTAACACACTACGCCGTGAAGGACTGAAATCCTGCAGCGCCCACAAGGTCCCCCTGCTCAAGAAAGCACATATACATGTCCGTCTGAACATCAGGAGGACTGCCCCCCTTAAATCCAGCACAGGGGCCATCATCACTGATAAACAAGAGCAAATGGCCAGGTGGGTAGAACACTACTCAGGGCTCTACTCACGAGACAACGGTGTGTCAGAAGCTGCCCTTGCTGCTGTAAAGCCCCTACTAACGATACACAAACTGGACATTGTTCCAACCTTGAAGGAACTTGACAATGCCATCAACTCACTAGCCAGCGGCAAGTCACCGGGACAGGACGGCATCACACCTGAGGTACTGAAATGTGCAAAGCCCGCCGTCCTCACAAAACTACATGAACTTATCTGCCAGTGCTGGGAAGAAGGAGCAGTGCCTCAAGACATGAGAGACTCTAACATCATCACCTTATATAAAAACAAGGGTGACCGTGGGGACTGCAATTACTCCCGCGGCATCTCCCTGCTGAGCATTGTGGGGAAAACCTTTGCCCGTGTGGTCCTCAGCAGGTTACAGATGCTAGCTGAGAGGACGTATCCTGAGGCTCAGTGTGGCTTCAGAGCAGGAAGGTCCACAATTGACATGCTCTTCTCCTTGTGTCAGCTACAGGATAAATGTCGAGAACAGAGAATGCCCCTGTACTTGGCATTCATTGATCTTACAAAAGCCTTTGACCTCATCAGTAGGGGATGCCTCTTCAAACTCCTCAAAGTGATCGGCTGTCCACCGAAGCTGCTGGCAGTCATCTCCTCTTTCCATGACAACATGAAAGGAAACTTGATTTGGCGCTTCGTGACTGCAGGAATTATTCTTTGGTTCTTTCGGTAAAGTCACGTAGAAATAGAAAATAATAAATTACATATCATACGACGTTTCGATTGCAACGCAAGCAATCATCATCAGATACAAATGAAAGAGAAACAAACCTAGTAAACTTAGAAATTATAATGCAATACAGCGCAGATAGTCGGCTAACATAACAGTCAACACCCTACCTGGTTGGTTACGTTCTTCTAAAGACTGCTAGATTTAAGAGAGAGATGAGACACAGAACCGGAGACACATATACAGACACATAAGCGGAAAGAGTTAACACAGAGAGAGACACACGTATGGTCACACAGAGAAACAACGCTTCTGTGTCGAGGCCTTAAATAGGTAGAGAGGGGGGGGGGTTAGAGGAATTAGCATGTCAATGAGAGATCCTGCAATGAGAGATCCACTGACAACGCTGGAGGAGGGAGCAACAACCGAGGGGAGACAGAGAGAGACGAAGGCAACACTAAATCAAACAAACTTAGTAAAATTTGGAAATGTAATGTTTTCAAGTTTCATTTATTAGGTATAGCCCTGTGAGCCATGCGGCTCTTAAGTCGGGTGCAACCGCAACAAACAAAATTTGAACACAGAACATCTTAAAGCGACAACGCGTAACAGAAATGTAATGCAACACAGAGAGTCGGTCAACACACAATTAACACATGGCCTGGTTAATTACGTTATTCCAAAGATTGTTCAATTAGAAGTTAAGTGTGAAATTTGAGAGAGAGACAAGACACAGACATGGAGACACAAAGACAGACACACAAGCAGAGAGAGACAACAACGAGACAGAGAGAGAGAGAGAAAAAACAAACTAAAAACTTCCCTGTAGAGGTGGTTCAAACTTGATTTGGCGCTTTCGTGACTGTAGGAATTATTCTTTGGTTCTTTATATATTTATATGTTTACTAGGTTTGTTTCTCTTTCATTTGTACCTGATGATGATTGCTTGCGTTGCAATCGAAACGTCGTATGATATTATGTAATTTATTATTTTCTATTTCTACGTGACTTTACCGAAAGAACCAAAGAATAACATGAAAGGAGCAATACAGCACAGCGGCACCACCTCAGAGGAATTTTCCATACTCAGCGGTGTAAAGCAGGGGTGCGTGCTTGCCCAAACACTGTTTGGCATATTTTTCTCACTTATGCTCACACATGCCTTTGGGACAGCAGAAGAGGGAGTCTTTCTCCATACAAGATTTGATGGCAAATTCTTCAACCTTGGCCATCTCAGATCCAAAACCAAAGTCCGTAAAGTCCTCATCAGAGAAATTCTATTCGCTGATGATGCTGCGCTGACAGCTCACACAGAACAAGGTCTGCAGACACTTATCGACCACCTTGCCAATGCCTGCAACAACTTTGGCTTGACAATCAGTCTGAAAAAGACCAATGTCATGGGCCAGGATGTCAGAGACACCCCTTCCATAAACATTGGCAGCTACACCCTTGAAGTCGTTCAGGACTTCACCTACTTGTGTTCTACCATCACCTGCAATTTGTCCCTTGTCACAGAGATTGACAAGCGCATTGGGAAGGCGTCAACAGCTATGTTTAGGTTGACTAAAAGAGTGTGGGAGAACAAATCCCTAACGCTCAACACCAAAGTACAGGTGCATCGGGCCTGCGTCCTTAGCACGCTCCTCTATGGGTCTGAGTCCTGGACAACATACGCCCATCAAGAACATCGACTAAACACATTCCACCTCCGATGTCTCAGGCGCATCCTCGGTATCAGATGGTAAGATCACATTCCCAACACCTCAGTTCTCAACTTGGCCAACATTCCCAGCATGTACTCTCTACTCAGTCATAGGCGCCTGAGATGGCTTGGACACGTGCGCCACATGCAGGATGGCAGAATACCCAAGGATGTCGTGTACGGTGAGCTGGCATCAGGCACACGGGTCACTGGTCGCCCAGTCCTGCGCTTCAAAGATGTCTGTAAACGGGACATGAAGAGCTGCGACATCAACCCAAATGACTGGGAGAAAACTGCCGGCGACCGACTCAGCTGGCAGCAGGCTGTGAAAACAGGCCTCGGGAGAGGCGAGGAGAAGAGACGCACCGCTTGGCAGACCAAGAGGGAGCGACGTAAATAAAAAGCATCAAACACCTCTGGAGCTGCCACCGCATTCATTTGCAATTGCTGTGGCAAGGATTGTCACTCAAGGATTGGCCTACTAAGTCATTCTTGGCGCTGCAAAACCTACAGCTGACCTCGTAAGGCGCAAAAATAATTGTCTCTCGAGACACAAAGGCCTATGGAGTCTCACCACAGTGGACTGTTGTCAGACAGCATTCAGAGCCCACCCGCGATATCCAGTGCCTATGCATACAAAGACAAAGATCCCCCGTATAGCCTGCCCAGACTATTGGGGCAAGTGCTGTTCGCCAGCACCGGCACACAAAGGGGTGGGTGGTCAGCACTACGCCTGGCCGCCTTTGTCTCCACAGTGGCGATGTTTACACATCGCACCAGGTACTCATTTGAGGCTGAGTCGACCTAGGGGAGGCCCATTACCGGTCCAGATAATCGTCACTGGTGTAGGCCGTGAGCAGGAATCGAACTTGGGCGATCGGGTTTGTAGCCAGCACGCTAACCGCTCCACTATCGCTCCCCACATGCATACGGTCACACTGGCACGTGCATATGTATAACCTACATGCACATACTTTGCAACACACTTAATGTGTTTGTTACAAGCAAACTCGATAATTGTTCGCAATTAAAAAAAGCCAAACTCTGTTCAGAATTTAAAACAAACGCCCATAGTCAACCAATGTTAGGCTGATGTTGATGTGGCTGGTCACGCCTTAGACAAGCCAATGATGTTCCACTCACATAAGCGGCGCCTAAACGTTGATAAGCATCGAATATCTTTGAATTATGGGGAGTGTAGCCACGAATCCAAAACCATTGACCACATCGTGAACACTGTCTTCACTCCTTTAAAGGAGGAATGCACAAGATCCACTCTGCTTCTGAACAGACAATTGAGTGGATAAAATCTAAAATTACATATTTAATCTGCTACTATTCATCCATACGAAAGAATAAGATGGCTAATAAATTAATGAGAAGGCCACTTACACGGGTGCAGAAGGGCAAACAAGACAGCGGATGTTCACAAATGGATGTGTAGTGATTGCAATGTATCAGAGTACGTGATATGTTGGCACGAGACTTTTTGTCTTTTTGGGGGGGGGAAATGCTTTGCCCAAGAGTGGTAGACAATTGTAAGGGGTGAAACTGGTTCACTGATACGGGGAACAACTAGCTTTGTAAATGTAGTTGTAAAGTAAAACTATACTAAAAAATATCGTGTTTTCATTAAGTTTTGTAATTTTTTTAATGTAAAATTACAAACATAGGATTGCTTGTAAGTAGTCAACTCTTTTGAGCTAAATACTGTGAATTATCAGGCACGTTGGAGGAGATGTGCCACCAATTCACCGTGACAACCGCAGAGATGGATCCATCGACGCGCTATAGCAATGCAGAGGTGACAAAGACGCCATGGCTCAACACCACAAGCCCAGCTGTGAATAAAGACAACCAAGATGCGAAATGCTCTCTCTGGCTGGTCATCACGTTGACTCTGCTCACCATTGCTCTGGGGGGTCTTGCATTTCTGGCATATCTTTACCGAAAATGGCACGCAACGAAAGGTAGGTTAAACTGTATTATGCAAACAGTTGCGTGAATGTTGTCCTTTAATGGATAACTTGTAAAGTGGTGTGATGAACCTGTGACATTATTGATTGCTATATTTTTTCATAAGCAGCAGTATTTCATTTGCAACGTTTACACAAACTTTAATGAAATATTAAATGCCTTTCAGATCATCGCCAAGTGCACTGCAACAGGTAAATATTGCTTTTGAATCTCTTCAATAACTAGATAACACACTATTCACAGGATGGATATTGTGATGTATAATAATCACTGATTAATGTTAGAACTGGACATTTGTGGTATTAAGTTACAATTTTCGTTAAGGCACCATGGATAGCAAAGTAGGTGTGTCGTCACAACGGGTTTCCAGTTCGAGTTTCTCTTCGAATAAGCGCTGTTTTCTTAAATATTAATATGGCAACTCGAAAGGATGGATAAAAATGTGTGCGTCCTTTTAAAAAAATAGTATCTTACTTACAAACAGCAAAAAACTATTTAACAACCTTCACTTTTTCCATTGCATTTTCTTTAAATTAAGTTTAAATAGATTTTATTTGTTACATAGATGATCTCATTTAGCCAGTTGCCTGGCAATTTTAAAAGGAAGGTCTGTAGAACATGAACACAACAGTAATAAAACAAGGACAAACACATGACATTAATATTGCAGAGAACAAGTCCAACGTGCTTAAGGAACAACTAACACATTCCCAATTTAATGGTTCGAAACGAAACACATGCAAATAAAAACAAGTGCCAATATAATATGAAAGTACAAGGTATCAGTAAAGGTTAGGTATCCGTGCAAATAACCTCTATATCTGAGTATAACAAAGACAAAGTTCCCACCATATAGCCTTGATGGACTTTTTGGGCAAGTGCTGTTAATGAGACAAGCTGGAGATGAACGGCAAGGGTATTCAAGAAACGCGGAGCTGCAACGTAGAATTAGTTATTTTTTTAACCAAAGTTTCATAATAAGGAGGCAGTTCTGAGGCTACGGAAGGGAGTTCGAGGAATTAAGTCGTCCTTTAGGTAATTGGTGGATTTGTTTAAGAGGACCGTTTGGATGAAGAGAGTCCCAGTGTTGAGTTTTGCAATGACGAGTTCTAAAGGGGACGTCAAGGGAAAACATGGAGAGCGTAGGGATATACTGGAATGTGACATTCATACAGAAACTAGGTGGTAAAGCTAAATATATTCAAAATAAATAAATACAACTCCCCTATAAAATGTGAAAGTCTGTTTTTTGAAGGCATGACCTGACCTGGAGAGTGGGCAAAACATTTGATGATGTTATTGATTTGTTGTGATTGTTTACTCGAGACACCTATTTACAGATGGTCAGTTACACCACGCTGCTAATGATGACGTTCAACTCGAGACACAAAGGTTGTTCTTGGAGGTGCCACTTTCCTCGCGGTGGTTGCTTTCTCTGTGGCAGTGCACCGGCCGTCAGGGAGACCACAGAAGCGAGGAATTCATAACTGTGTTGTATTCTGTAAACAAAATGTGACTTTGTGGGGTTTTTTGTGTCCCTGTGTCTGTCCCAGCAAATGTGAGGCATGCCATTCAACCAGAGGTGGCCACAGCGAGTGAATGCGTCTACAGTTTGGTGGGACAGATTGAGACAGTCACTCACTTACCTCTCAGCACGAAATAATCAACTTAATCTAGCTATCTGGGTATACATTACCACTTTGGGTAATATTTTGTCATAACTGTAATCATTTAAACATAATTTGTATCCATAGTCTGCAAACGTGGTATGAAGACATCATACAAGATATAGGAATAGGTTTTACCCTTTTAACTGGCACAAAAACTGACACCTTTATTCAAGGCATCATGTTTGCAAAAAAACACAACAAAAGCTGTCTCGGGTGTGGACCAATCAAATTCAAGGACAGTGCATATTATCAGAGTTGTCTTTTTTGTTTGCATTCTGACTGCTTGTGTTGTGGTTTTTTGCAAACATGATGCCTTGAATAAAGGTGTCAGTTTTTTGTGCCAGTTAAAAGGGTAAAACCTATTCCTATATCTTGTTTCTGGCAAAGGAGGTCTCATAACATCATACAAGCTTCAGTTTTTTGTATTGTAATGCTTAATAGCCCGCTATTGTTAATTACATACTCAACGTGCTTTAGCTACTTCCGTCGTTATTCAGAATAAAATATTATATTCACGTTGCACTGTTGTTCTAGGAATTACGCTCAATTTAATTGTGTGAATGCTTTGTGTTACCTGACATTGGTATGGCATCAGAATCTGCCCTCACAAGAGCCATCCAGAATGCAAGTTGACTCATCACCATCACCGTTATTAACCAGTGAGGTATATATCATCGATTTATTTGCAAGCTATATTTATTTATTATGCTGTAAACTGGACATAGTTAATGGGACATTTATGGTTTGTTGCACACATGGTTGACGATAAAGTGATAATAAAATGACGATGAAGTTATGATAAAGTGATGGTGAAGTGATAAAAGTGATGATGAAGTTATAATAAAGTGATGATGAAGTTATAATAAAGTGATGATGAAGTTATAATAAAGTGATGATGCACCATCATAGAAATTGTGTTTTAAGACCCACGATGCTTTTCTGACAACCACAACTATATATGCCAACCAAATACATTGCTCACTGTTTTTTTAAAGTAATCCACGTGCATGTGCGAGTTCTCTTGACTCCAGTTTCTTTCTAATCACAAAAAATACTCTGAAAATAAACTAACATACCTAGCCAGACTCCCTCTGAAACTTTGCGTAATGTTTAAAATGTATATTATTGTCCTCAATATTTGCTTTACACTTACCTGCGGTAAAATATCCATAAATACCTTGACATAAAACAGTTGTTCTCTATAAACTTTATCTATACAAGTAGTCCCCGACTTACGATGGAGATGCGTTACGACGATCCCATCGTAAGTCGAAAATATCGTAAGTCAAAAATGGCCTAGCCTACCCAGGAGTCTTAAAGAATGGTGATAATTTAGCAAAACAGAGCAATTTACAGTACCGTACTCTATAAACTATACACTGTATGTATTTATTAATTACAATACTGTATTGCACAGTAAAATTTCAAGTAAAAAACGAGGTAAATTCTTAGCCTACCTATATGAACTTCAATTTCATAGAACGTTTTTTCAGGAAACAATCCTATCTGCTATAAAAAAAAAACTTTTAACATGCATTGAACGTATGTATCCTATCGTGGTAACCCTATAATGAAATCGCTAAAGCTATGTATCATACATGCATTGAACGTATCGTGACATCACATTCTACTATACTCACCAAGATTCTGTCCGTCGTCTGTAAACTTGAACGATGTTAGGTTAAATTTTGATTTAAAGCTTTCGTGACTGCAGTAATTCATATTCTTAGTTTTTTCGGTAAAGTCACGTTGAAGAGAAACAACAAAATAACAAAATATATATAAAACAATAAAAAATTCTCACGACGTTTCGACCTTAACTCAAACGGTCATCATCAGGTGTGTCGGTTTGCATAAATTTATTTTGAAAACGGCATATTTATTTATATATATAATAACGTTTGCGTCACGCGCAACTATGGCAGTTTGCCAGGACTAGTCCATCTATTTTTTGAAAAGAGGAGGGGGGAGACGAAATTTGTTTTTATGTATGCTGTCTGAAAGGCACTGTAAGCGTGAACAATCAATCAAGAACTGAAATGATTTATCAAATCTTTCCAATGATTGCTAAGATAGAATCCATCTTCTCGGTTGAAATTGTCTCTGTGTTTGTATATGTGGATAGCCTCATGAACGAATCTCTCATGGAAGCCAGATGGCTTACAAAGAACCTCCGTCTTGGAAAAGTCAATGGCATGTGAGCCTACTGAATTAGAACAATGATCTGCTACGGCCGAGGTGTTGGTCCTACCGTGTTTAAGGTCTGCTTTATGTTCACGAATGCGGTCCGAGATATGGCGTTTGGTTTCTCCAATGTAACTACTACCACAGAGGCAACTTAGTTTGTAGACACCAGGGTATTGTATGTCCGGAATCACATCTTTTACAGACGGAACCAGATCACGGATTTTATGTAATGTGTTGAAACGGACCTGGATCTTGTGTTTATTCAAGATTTTGGAGATCTTTTTTGTGATCCCAGCAATGTAGGGTAAAGTGATGGTTTTGAAAGGCTCCTCAAGAGGGTTCTTCTTCATGGTTTGAGTGATAGCTTTGCGGATTGTATAGTCGGAGTAACCATTAGCCCTAAGAGCTTGGTGTACGTGCTTGAGTTCACTGCTTATGTGTTCCTGGTCGGATATGCATTGGGCTCTATGATACAGAGTCTTGATGAGAGAATTCTTCTGTGATGGATGGTGGTGGGAATCCGGTTTCAGATAAGCATCCGTATGGGTAGCTTTCCTGTAGACAGAGTGGCTCATTGAACCATCAGGTCTCTTTTTAATTAGGACATCCAAAAAAGGTATCTTGCCATCTATTTCGACTTCCATGGTAAATCTGATGGCTGGGTGTATGGAATTGATGTGGTCGAAGAATTTGTCTAGAGCAGGCCGGCCATGTGGCCAGATGACAAAAGTGTCATCCACGTACCTCTTCCATAAGGTTGGGCGCAGAGTGGCAGTCTGGATGGCGTCAGTCTCAAATTTCTCCATGAAAATGTTAGCTATAACTGGAGAAAGGGGGGAGCCCATTGGGGTGCCCTCAGTTTGTTTGTAGAAAGTTCCATTCCAAGTGAAGTATGTATTGGTTAAACAGTGTCTCACCAGGGGGGGTACCTCAGTGTTTAGTCCTTGATGAACCAAGTCTTCAATGATTGCAATGGTGTCAGGTACAGGAACCTTGGTGAATAAGGAAACTACATCAAAACTGACAAGCAGGTCGTCTGGGGACAGGGAAATACCCTTGATTGTTGATACCAGGTGAGTAGAATTTTGTACCGCAGAGGTGGTCTTTCCAGTGAAAGGACGCAGGATTTCAGACAAAAAACGAGCTAGTTTGTAGGTGGGGGAGCTGATAGTAGAGACTATGGGACGAAGAGGTGTATCAACTTTATGTATTTTTGGTAAGCCGTATAATCTTGGTGGCCTGGCAGCAGAAGGTTTCAACGAAAACTGTTTAGATTGATCAATTAATGCGGTTGAATCAGAAATTATTTTGTTGGTTTGTGTGACGAGGCTGTTGGTGGGATCTCTTTTTATTTTTGTATAACTACCATCGTCGAGTAATTCTTTAATTTTGTTGTTGTATTCTATTTTATCCATGATAACAGTAGCATTGCCTTTGTCAGCTGAGAGAACTACAATATCATTCCTCTTTTTTAATTTATATAATTCAAAACGCTCATCTTTGCTGAGGTTGCTAGCTGGCATCTTAGCGTTTTTGAGGGTTGCAGCGATTTCAGATCTTGCTACGTCTGCAGCGATGTGACCCAGGCCCCTGAGAGCAACGTCTACTTGGGCAATTATATCATTAACTGGTATGTGTTTAGGTGTGACTGCAAAGTTTAGACCTTTAGCTAAAACGGATTTCAGACCATCGGAAATAGAACTGTTACTGCGATTAATTACGACTTTATTAACGTCTAACTTTTTGGTGTGTGGGTCCGGTCTTTTGTTTAAGAAAAGGTTAAATTTTAATCGCCTCTACGGGGAGGGTTTTCACATAACTTTAAGATCTTTCAACAAACTCCGGGATAAGAAAGCTCAGCTGATCGAGTCTCTCACCTTCCTGAAGAGATGCCGCGACTCTGGGGTAATACCAATCGCATTTACACTCACCTCTGCTACTGTAACTTCTTCTAATGCGAAACGAATTCTTTTCAAAACTAGCTTAGCTCTTATCTCAGAAAAAATCAGACTTATACGCACAGAACTAGATCAGTTAGACAAGACACTCTACAAATCACACTTATCATTGACGGCAATAATGTCCACATCGGATTGGGAACATGTAGACAATATGACTGCCTCTTCAGCTGCTACTATGTCGACCAAATGTAAGGAAAACCTGATTTCCAAATTTAACCTCCTCTTAAACAAAAGACCGGACCCACACACCAAAAAGTTAGACGTTAATAAAGTCGTAATTAATCGCAGTAACAGTTCTATTTCCGATGGTCTGAAATCCGTTTTAGCTAAAGGTCTAAACTTTGCAGTCACACCTAAACACATACCAGTTAATGATATAATTGCCCAAGTAGACGTTGCTCTCAGGGGCCTGGGTCACATCGCTGCAGACGTAGCAAGATCTGAAATCGCTGCAACCCTCAAAAACGCTAAGATGCCAGCTAGCAACCTCAGCAAAGATGAGCGTTTTGAATTATATAAATTAAAAAAGAGGAATGATATTGTAGTTCTCTCAGCTGACAAAGGCAATGCTACTGTTATCATGGATAAAATAGAATACAACAACAAAATTAAAGAATTACTCGACGATGGTAGTTATACAAAAATAAAAAGAGATCCCACCAACAGCCTCGTCACACAAACCAACAAAATAATTTCTGATTCAACCGCATTAATTGATCAATCTAAACAGTTTTCGTTGAAACCTTCTGCTGCCAGGCCACCAAGATTATACGGCTTACCAAAAATACATAAAGTTGATACACCTCTTCGTCCCATAGTCTCTACTATCAGCTCCCCCACCTACAAACTAGCTCGTTTTTTGTCTGAAATCCTGCGTCCTTTCACTGGAAAGACCACCTCTGCGGTACAAAATTCTACTCACCTGGTATCAACAATCAAGGGTATTTCCCTGTCCCCAGACGACCTGCTTGTCAGTTTTGATGTAGTTTCCTTATTCACCAAGGTTCCTGTACCTGACA